TTTTTTTTTTTTAATCTTCTTTCCCGTTTCTTGGTTTGTTTTTTTTTTTGTGTGTGTTTTGTTTTTGTTGGTTTTTTTGTTTTTTTAAATTAATTTATTTATAGATATATTTAAAAAAAGCAATAGTCCTTTGGTCCCTAAACTCTAAGGAATGATATGACTCTGAAACAAGTAATCCTATGTCCCTGTGCCAGTGACGAGCAGGGGGAGGCGCGTGTCCCGCTGCCCTGCTCCATGGGATATATATATATATATACTTATTTATATATATCTTCTATAAGTCCAACATCCTTTTTTTTTTTTTATCCCCGATGTAGGGGAAAAAAGAAAATCTCTCCATTTTCCTTTCTCCAAACACGCATCCTCCAGGTGAAGCGCCCGAGGCTGGTCCCGTCCCACCGGCTTTGGTTTATAAGAATCCGTTTGGAGCCTCTTTTTTCCTCGTTTCTCCTGGGAAATCGGTAGCAGCAAATGAGTGCTTTAAAATAAAAAAAAATAAAAAAAAAAACCACCCGAACAAACAACAAAGGTAGGTTGTGTCCCGGCTGCCCGGGGCTGTCGTCCTTTCTCCCGGCGAGGGATTCGGTGAGTCCCGGCGCGCGGCCGGCGGCAAATCTCAGCCCCAGTGCCTCATCCCTCTCCTCCTTCCTCGTCTTCCTCGCTCTTCTCGTGCCCGTCAAGCAACAAACAAGACCGGTTTGGGAAAAATACCAAAAAAGAAAAGAAAAGCTACGACCAGAATGGCTCTCTTCTTCGCTGTTTTCTCCATCACCTTCTCCTCCTCCTCCTCCTCCGGGTTGTGTTGCAAAGAAAGAGAGTTACGGGTTTGGATACTGCACTTGGGGAAGGGGAAAGTCGTCAGACACCACGGGACGCCCCACCTGCAAAACAGGGAAAGGGCTGTTACCCCCAGGCCTGGGAGGGAGGGACAGGGAGAGAGAGGGAGGGGAGGGCGGAGAGAGGGAGAGGGGGGGAGGGAAGGATGGAAAAGGATGGGGAGAGGGATGGAAAGAAGGATGGAGGGAAGAATGGAGAGAGGGACGAGGAGAGGGGTGGAGGAGGGACAGGGAGAGGGATGGGAAGAAGGAGGGAGGGCCAGGGAAAGGGATGGAGGGAAGGACAGAGGGAAGGATGGAAAGAGGGATCGAGGGAAGGATGGAGGGAGGGACAGGGAGAGGAACAGGGAGAGGGAGAAGGATGAAGGGAAGGATGGAAAGGGATGGAGAGAAGGATGGAAAGAGGGCCAGGGAGAGGGATGGAGAGAGGGATGGAAAGAGGGCCAGGGAGAGGGATGGAGGAGGGACAGGGAGAGGGTAGGAGGGAAGGATGGAGGGAAGAATGGAAAGAGGGACAAGGAGAGGATGGACAGAAGGATGGAGGGAAGAATGGAAAGAGGGACAGGGAGAGGGATGGAGAGAGGGATGGAAAGAGGGGCAGGGAGAGGGATGGAGAGAGGGATGGAAAGAGGGGCAGGGAGAGGGATGGGAAGAAGGAGGGAGGGCCAGGGAAAGGGATGGAGGGAAGGATGGGAAGAGGGATGGGAAGGCAGATGGAGGGAAGGATGGAAAGAGGGACAGAGAGAGGATGGAGGGACAAGACAGAGGGAAGAATGGAAAGAGGGATTGAGGGAAGGATAGAGGGAGGGACAGGGAGAGGGATGGGGAGAGGGATGGAGGGAAGGACAGAGGGAAGGATGAGAAAAGGGACAGGGAGAGGATGGAGGGACAGACGGAGGGAAGGATGGAAAGAGGGATCGAGGGAAGGATGGAAGGAGGGACAGGGAGAGGGAGAAGGATGAAGGGAAGGATGGAAAGGGATGGAGAGAGGGATGGAAAGAGGGCCAGGGAGAGGGATGGAGGGAAAGATGGAAAGAGGGATGGAGGGAAGGATGGAGAGAGGGACAGGGAGAGGGACGGGGAGAGGGATGGAGGGAAGGACAGAGGGAAGGATGGAAGGAGGGACAGGGAGAGGGATGGAGGAGGGACAGGGAGAGGGATGGGAAGAGGGATGGGAAGGTGCATGGAGGGAAGGACAGAGGGAAGGATGGGAAAAGGGACAGGGAGAGGACAGAGGGACAGACGGAGGGAAGGATGGAAAGAGGGATCAAAGGAAGGATGGAAGGAGGGACAGGGAGAGGGATGGGAAGAAGGAGGGAGGGCCAGGGAGAGGGATGGAGGGAAGGACAGAGGGAAGGTTGAGAAAAGGGACAGGGAGAGGACAGAGGGACAGACGGAGGGAAGGATGGAAAGAGGGATCAAAGGAAGGATGGAAGGAGGGACAGGGAGAGGAACAGGGAGAGGGAGAAGGATGAAGGGAAGGATGGAAAGGGATGGAGAGAGGGATGGAAAGAGGGCCAGGGAGAGGGATGGGAAGAAGGAGGGAGGGACAGGGATGGGAAGAAGGAGGGAGGGCCAGGGAGAGGGATGGAGGGAAGGATGGAGAGAGAGACAGGGAGAGGGATGGAAAGAGGAACAGGAAGAGGGTTGGAGGAGGGACAGGGATGGGAAGAAGGAGGGAGGGA